CTCCCGTGGATGGGCCACCTCCAGCAAAACTAAGACAAATACCAGAGAATGGAAAATATTCCTGAGCCAGGTCTGAGCTGGTTGGGACGAGAGAGGTTATTAAACAGGATGAGATTAGCAAGTTTCCCACCATGACCCCCACTTAGCCCTAAAAACTTATCAGAATGAACTCAGCCTACCTCTATACCCTGCGTGCCACCGTCACTCCCAGCCCCTGCAGGTTGCCTCTCTTTATGGAGATATATAGATAGAGGCTGAATGCCTATAATTTTATGGAAATCAAACCTGCAGCAGGCTGATGATTTGGGATTAAAAGGGGCACATGGCAGCGGTGAGCAGGACCTGATTGCAGCAGCTGCCCGGGAAAGCTGCTTTTCTCTTTTTCTTTCATTCATTATTTGAGATGCAAATTTCTTAGGCACTTGCTATAAAACATTTTTTCCCCCTTCATACAAATCACCAGCTTGGAATAACAAATGAAAAGAGAACCGGCAGGGCAGGGTGAATGAATCAGAGGCAAACACTGTGCTGGCAGGTCTGAAGCCCAGGTCCAGATTTCAGGTGTCTGAGCATCCAGGCCTGGGGTCCGGGTTTGCTCAGGCTGGAACAGAAGCCCATGGAGGCTTTTGTCACTGAAGCCACTTAGCCTTAATGCCCTCTGTGCCTTGCTAATATAGGCTGCTTTGGGTTTGAGCATCCCTGCCCGTTTCCTAACTGTGCCATGGTTCCTCGAATAAAACTTTCATTGCTCTTTTAAGAGCTAATTTCTCTCCTCCACAAGGTGCTTTCAGGCAGGGGTTGTAGTGTCTTCATAAAGCAAAAAACAGGCTTGGAGGAAGAGAGTTTCGTACAGGACTGAACAGAGGTGCACTGACAGCTAGAATAGCAGAAGCTATTTCAAGGGGAGGCCACGGGCACAGTGCAAGTCACAGTGCCATCCCACTGGCAGAGCAGGGCAACTTCCCCAGAATTAGGCTCGGGCCAGTCCTGTCTTCTTCCCAGCACCAGGAGCAGCAAGGTATTTAGACACAAACCATAGTGAGAAAGCTGGAAAGAATCAGCCCTTGTACTTCCACTGGCTTGAGCCCTAAGTCCTGGACTGTGCAGTCAGGGGTGGAACAAAGATCTCCGAGCCAGGGTTGTTCTGCTAATTAGGGCATTGTGCATGCCCCAGAAACCAGGTGCGACACCAGGAGGCTATTCCTGAAGGCCCCCTCCCTTCCCCTTTCGCAAGTGGACTGGTTCCTCGGGTCTAATAAGCTACAGTCGTGTCCAGGACATGCTGTTAATGAGCTCACAAGCAGGGCCGGGCGGGCTGCTCCAAGCCAAGAATAGTTACAAGCTGTCTCCTTGGCACTTGTCATGCTGGGACTTGTGCAGCAGGCGGCGGTTAATTATAAAGAGGAAGGAAAGAACAAATCAAGAGACCTCGCAGGAGTAAACTGTGCCACGAGCTGAAGCATCTGCCTTTCCCTCCCAACCAACTCTGTGCAGTCTCTTCTCCCTCCCCTCCCAGGGGGAGCTTGGCGAGAGGGGAACAAGAGCAGAGAGGGCCGGTCTGTCTGCAGACCAGAGCCAGGCCAGCTTTGCTGAGGTTGACCTTATTGTAGACATGGGTACCGCTGGGCTCCCCAGCTGCTGCCAACTGGAAAGAGTTTGGGGAAAAGCGGCCCTAGCTTTCCATCCCTCCTCTTTTCTGATCAGAATCCGGGGACTGTGAGTTTTGGCGAGTCTTTCATGACCGGCTGGATCACACCCCTCACTGCCGCCCTGTTAGAGCACAGCCTGTAGCAGCACAGCTGTGGCAGCCCCTGCTCAATCCTCAGTGCCCAGAAGCCACTCGGATGTGTGCACTATGAGAGCCCGTACTGCACCGTACACATCAGAAGAGATGACTGCCTGAGCAGCCTGGAGCCATGGAGGCAGGATAGCTTTGGTGCAGGTGCCGGGCCAAGGATGGCATGCGTTTCTTTGGCTGCCAGCACTTGGGAAAACGCCGTGCCTCAGGGAATGAGGCTCTGATGCAGACAGAAAAACAGCCCAAAAGCTACCATGCACAGATCTATCCCTCCATAAATACAGCGCTTGATTTTAATTTGCATTATTCTCCTTTTTATTATTTATTGGTAAAATGTAATTACCGTATCCTTCACAAACCTTAATTAAAGATGAAAAACAATCCTGACAACTCAATTAGATTTTTTTTTCTTCCTTGGTCTCCATTAAATTAAGACTCAACTTTTACTGGAAGTGTTTAATATCACAACACATTAAACTGAAGGCTGCTTTGTAATAAATAAATCACTAAAGACAAAGCCAGCGCTTGCCTCTACAGAAGCTCTCTCTCACAATGGGATTTTATTTTCCAGCTGGGACATGAATTAGAAGCGGTTCCTTTTGGTCTGTGTGTCATTTCCAATGATGGGCAGGTCCCTCCTGCTCTGGGTAACAGGCCTGGGGCTCTCTTCCTTTAACACAAGATTGGAGTAACTCTGAAACTCAGTCTATTTATTTTCCTCAAGAGCCACATGAGGTAGGACACTGCTGTCGTTTCCATTTTACAGACCTAAATTGAACGTAACAGGTGTGGAGGTGCGGAAATGCCTCACCCATTGCGGAGTCCTCAGCCTCACGTTTGTGGTCTGGGCTCCTCCGTGCCGAAGGCAACCGCAGAAACCAGATATGCAGGGAGCCCCTGCCCCAAGCTAGCAAGGAGTAAGATGCAGAGAAAAGACATGGGGCTCAGGCCCACAAAACAGCTGGCCAGAAATAGGGATTCTTAGCCATGAACCTGCTCCTGCAGTTCAGAGCTACACCAAGTTTTCCCCCTAAAAATCATGAGTATGTGCATCCCCTTGGCATAGCCCAAAAGCACATGGTGAGGGCCCCGCTGCCTGGTGGGGAGGACACCCTCCTAGGACAGTGAGCCCTGGGAACAAAGCAAAGACAGAAAAGTAGGTCTTGCACACCTCAGGGCCTGCATCCTCTCCCTCCAAACCTTTTATCAAAGTTCCTCACTAGCCATCTTTTGTATGGATGGCATCTGGATTAGATCTGCCACAAGGAGCAGGTAGGATAGGCGGGGGAAAGCCTAGTGTGAAAGCCCCTTGAAAGTTTCCAAGCCCAGGGCGGGAAGCAGCAGATCAGCTGAACGGTGGCATATATGTACATGAACATATACGGTTTCATGCACACTAGCTGGAGGAAACATGTCTATGGGGAATAGGTGCCTATAGGGTCTGCTCGTAGCTGAGCAGTAGTTAGGAACATGTCAACAGTGCCTATTAGTGGACTGAAAGAAGCAAATATGTACCCAGGCACCCTTGCTCTTTTAGATCTAATTCACCTCTCTGAGCATGCATGAGACAAGGAATGGAAGTCAGGTCTCTATATCCCAATCACAATGTCCCAGCCACTCCTTTCTGGTTTAAGTTTAGTCACCTTACAGTTTCCTTCTGCACTTGGAGAAACACCTAGAAGATACTGGCAGGGGAAGAGAAGGATTAACCTGTGGAGAGGAATAAAGAAAACAGCTGCACTATGTTAGGTAAGATGCAATTTTGATGTGCAGTTCTCCATGCTGAGAAGCTGATGCAATGATAGGTAAAGGAACTTCCTCCTAGTGCATACTAGTGCATGGGGTAGATGGGCATGGTGTGGAACAGTGTTCAAACTTACAAGTTACCTTTGATGGCAGAACACCACACTTGATGGCCTGTCGTGGAATGGCAGCTCTTCTGGCAGAGAACTCCCGAAGTAACTGGCTCATGGAAAGGAAACGCCAGGCTCTTGGACAAAGTTAAACTACCCAAAGATAGGCCTAAAGGTGCCTACTTGCAGCACAGGACCCAAGCAGCTGGATTTTGCAGGTAAGTTCTCATTAGGCCAATTCTTCAGGTGCAGCAACTTGACCTATGTCCATTGACTTCATTACTTTTATACTGAGACAGACCAGCTGGAGACCCAGCTCATTGATTTTACTTAAAATGGGATCTGCTTGAGAGAAAAATTGAGTTATGACACAGCCTTGGCCCACAAAGTGCCTCCTTTTCTGAAATATACGCAAAAGAAAGACACCAGACTTCATTTTTGTTCCAATTTCCGTTTTTCTTCTTTAAAAAGATGCATGAATCTTTGCAGCGCCATGAACTCTGCTTTTAAAAAACATAGGGCATAGGGTGTCTCTTCAGCTGGTGTTCCTCAGGATAGTTCCACTGGAATTAACACCGGCTGAAAATCCGGGCTCATGTCTTATTATGAAAAACCTTTCTTCCCCACAGCAAATGAGTAGGAACACTGCTATACTGCACTGACTGCAGACATCCACTAAAAGAGCACCATTCACACGAGCCATCCCACTGCTCCTTCTGCAGCAGTAAAACATTAAGACCAAAACTGGAAAACCATTAGCTTCCAATATGAACATTGCAAGCCTTTCCTCCTTGCACAATCACTGGCTAAAAGGTTTAGGCTAATTCTGATCGTTGGCTCTTTGTGTTTGACAGCCAAGGAAGTCTTCTGAGATCGATCTCTTTCCCCAGTGATGCCATGGACTGTGGCAACTCTAAGGAAGCTTAGTCATAGACTCCCACCTCCTCTGAGCTGAGGACTAGGCTATAAAGCCATGCCAACAAAGTCCTTAGCAGAGGTGCACCTTGAATTAAGTGTGTTCCTTTGCTGAGAGTTAATAAAACTCTCCAAATGGCATAAGCCGTATCAGCAAAATGAAATCTTTGCCTGTATAAGCGGCATCCACAAGTAGGTGTTTGCCAGCTTTGTCACTGAGCACACACTTCCTCCCCCGCCCCACTTCATTTTACATAGCCTAGCTTTGCAAAACTGTGTCGTGCGCACCTGTACAGGGTCTCAGTCAGGGCCATAGCTCTTTCCCCTTGTAGGAGAGCAACAGTGCAGGAGGAGACAGCTTTAGAAACAGCCACGTCCATGCCACTTAAGGCCTTCAAGAACAACAGCTAGTGAAATAAATTCAGAGGCTGTCGCAAATTTGGAACGTTTATTTATGCATTTGGTTTTCTGAAAAGAAAAGAAAGCAAAAGAAAAAACAGAAAGTTAACAACAGCTGGGTGTGTGTGGGACAGTCCACAGCAGAAATGCCTTTCTTTGTGCAACCCTTGTTCCACCTCCCGCCACTTAGGCCTCTGACAAACCAACACGAGGCTTTCTTTCCCACCTTCTGTGGGAAGCAAGGCCTGTGACCATCCCACTGTCTATCAGGATCAAACACGTCAACCAGCATCCATTGCTTTTGCATTCGCCACTGTTCTGATTGTGGCCTTTGGCATCACTTCTTCTGAGTTTGCACTAGACAAAAACTATTTCAATTTTGGTATTTTGTTGTCAGTTTTATTTTTTTTATTCCATTGGTTTTTATTTTTATTAAAAAGAAAAAAAGCACCACTCCATTTGTAATACCAATAAACATTATCCATATTAAGAACAGTATTTATATTTATTTATATATATATATATATATATTTCTATATATATATTTATATGTACAGAATGTCCTTGCCTTGTGTTGTGCTAACATCTCAATAGGAGCAGAAAATTGGTTGGTTGTTATAGCACTTTGATTTTAAAGCTTGCCCTTCTCGAGAGATGCACTGAAAATTTAGAGACGTCCAGCAAGGGGATATCAAAAATCTTGCTTTTAAAACGTATATACAAATCATCCAGCTTCTATTTTCTCCACAGGACTGAATGGGTTTCGATTTTATTTTTTTGCATGCCTTTCTGGTCCCACTTCACCTATGAGCATCAGAAAGAGACAGTGGAAAACCCTTCTGCAGATTTTTCTTCCTCCCTTTGGTCAGAATAAATTGACTGGCACTGTTGCACAAACAAACCAAGATGGATGTACCAAATGGAAGCACTGGGAAGAAGCAAGGCAGTTCAAATTTAAAAAAATAAAATTAAAAAAGGTTTCCTGGTTCTGACAGGTCAAATGTGGTGTTTAAGTTCATAAAAGTTTGGGTAGTTCCTTCTTCTTTTCCATACTCAACATCCTACAGTTTCAACCCCAATTCCTTGTTACCCTTAAGAGATCCTCTGCCTACACTTGTGGAGGTAATTGCCATCTCTATTCTCTACAAACAAGCACCCCACCGGTCCTGTGACTGACATAGTGCCCATCACATATTGTACTATTTCTCTTAACTTTGGCCTTTAAAAAGAACCACTTTAATAGCACTCCAGCGCATATGAGCCCTCCTCTTCCACAGCATACCTTTCAAGGGGCTGCACAAAGAAGGGACATTAATATGCCTTTTGATTGAAAAGAAATCAGGAAAAAGACACTTTTATTTAAAGACCACCTTCTAATATAGGCACACGTGTTACCCTAAACCGGAAGGATTCATTGTACACTCTTCCACACTCTGGTAGGGATAAAAAGACTATTCAGTCACTAGACAAGAGAGTTTTAATTGTGGTAACAGGGCAGGAAGAGAAGCAGAAGGGGATGATTTTATAGCCCTTGGTGTACATTATCATTAGGCTCGTGTGAAATATTCACAAAGAAGTTGGAAAAGCCAGGCGTTTGTAGAGGAATCCTGGCCCCATCAAAGTCAATCAATAGCAAAAAATGCCACTCATGAAGTTTCTGCATTGCTTTTGGGCTTCTTCACCCAGGGCACAGGAACAGATTCTGCTCTCAATTAACCCATTATGAAACCCAATACTAAGTCCAATGACTCAATTGTTACTCCAAATTCATCACTACTGGCACTGAGAACTGGATCTGGACCATGGACCTTAACATAGCACAATCTGCCCAGAGACCTTAGCAGGATTCCTCAAGGAGGAGCTGACTTGATTGAACACGTTGTCATTGGGATTCAAACACAAAGATGGTGATGCCAGGAGCAGAGACACTTGTTGATGTTCAAATCACTGCTTATACTAGGAACTGATACCAAAGTTAGTATTGAAAAAAGCAGGTGTTCAGACAGAGAGAGTGGAACATGCACCCAGATACGTATCAAACATGTTTAATACAAAGATGGATGGAACACGTCAAGAATAATCAGTGACAGCAATAGAAAAGACTTCTTGTGTCACTTAGGTCCACCCAATGGAGATTGATTTAAGGTTGCTCCAAACAGAGGGCTAAGTTCATCCTGGATATCACTTCTTTGATTTCATAAGCAATTTATTAGGCCTAGTAGATTCTGCAGGGCAATGAGATAGCATTTACAGAACCTCCCCATGAGACACTGCTCACATCCTAATGGGCCTCAGGGTTGGAAAATGCCCTGCTATTCAGTTTGAACTTCCTGTGGTCACCTAAGTATCTCCTCTTCCTTCCTGGGTATCTGCACCCTCCATGCAGATACCCAGGAGATATCTCCTGTGCAGCACCCACCCTTAAATGGCTTGTAGAAAAGCCTCAAAGGAGCATCTTTTCCCTCAAAAATATAATTTCCCAACCAGCTCTATCTACACCTTGTGGAGTGCAGGCACTTTGAGAGGACCCAGCGGAGAAGGAGGCTGAGCATAAAGCCCTATCATCCTCTCCTTGGACTTGGCCCCATACTCCTGCCTTGTTGCACACAGGAGATGAACTTCCCTTTAGTAAATGTGCTGAGAGCACTCTTGTTTCTTGGATGTGTGATGCATATTGTGGCCCCATAGTGGAAAAGAAAGGGAACAAACACAGCTTACAGAGAGCCAGCAGCCAGCCTGGGGGTGGCTTTGGTATGAGAGACAACAACTTGGTGTATGGAAGGCCAAGCGCTTGCACTTAGGAGCTTCTCCATTTAACTGCTGAATTTTGCATGCATCCTGGAAGCAGTCAAAAGGCACTACTATTTCACCTAGGACTTATGCGCTGAAGCTCTGGAAAACTGAACTTATTGCCATGGGCTCGGAGCTTGTCACTACTGACAAGACATTGACACAGAGGAAGGTGTGCAAAGACAAGCGTGAATGATTCATTGGCTGAACTGGATGGGTTAAGTGAGAAAAGATGCAAAGGAATAAATGTGCCTGACTTGGTGAAAGAGCTACCACATGGGGCTGTAGGAAAAGAGCAGTCTGGCCACAGATAATGAATAGAGCCATCATGAGGAAATGGCTGTGCACAACACCAGAAGGCAAAGAGGAGGATCTTGCCTCTGATCTCTTCCTGCCGAGACACAATTACTGCTAGGGCATAGCCTGGTCCTCGAGACAGAGGGGAGCAGCCCCCTAGCTCTCTGAGTTTATGGTGTCAGATACCAGGCTTCTGTCACTTTGGCCGCTGCCTCTTATAGCCATTTGTGGTGCTGAGCAGGAACTCAGATATGTGGTGGAGCATAGGACCATCTGTGCTCATCATCAGAGAAAATGGGCTCACCATATGGGATGGCAAATCACCTTTTGACTGGCTCGTCCATAAACATTAAAAACAAGCTACAGATAAACTACTGGGCTCCAGCTAACTCTGTTCTAAGTCCAAATCAAACTGGCTGTCAGGCATATGCAACCAGATCCTAATTTAATACTTGCCAAGGGTAACAGTGAAACACAAGGGATTCTGGGTCCACAGCTAAAAGTCATGGTAGAGTGACAGTGGAGAAACTCTTCTGCAAGTTATGTCAAGAATTAAGATTATAGTTGGGCTTTTTCCTGGGGGAAGGAACTTGTCGTGATGAAGATGTGTGACCTCTGCCTCCTGGTCAATAGGTGGCATCAACCCAACAAGCCCTTGGACGCTCTAAAACGCTGGCCACATCCCCATTAGTCTGGACTCACCCATCACAAGCCCTGGCAGGAAGTCAAGAAGATGCAGTGTTCTGACATGGCTGAGACTTCTTGTCACTCAGCTTCCACAGCTCATCTCTTCTCTCCACTTCCAGCTCGGTGCAGGTCACAACCACCACCTGAGACAACGGCACTGACAACCTGTGTGTCAGCCACTCTTCCAAGTACCCCTGCCTCCGTTGCTGCTCTGAGACTTGGACCCCAAAAGGTGTTCTTACATTTTTGAGTAGGTCCTAGTCCTCATTTCAGAGCGGTGAAATCCACCTCGATGACTAAAAACTTGTCAGGGATTTCACCTAAAGAAATCTAGCTTCACATCAGTGTACTGGCTTGCAGCATCAGGAAATTCCTCCGGATTTGCAATGGCATCACTGAGAACAGATTTTATCCTGGTGATTTCAAAGAAATTGCCCTATTGTAACTGAAGGTCTGATCTGTCTGATAGGTTTCAGTGGGCTTACTCTGGACTTTCACTGAAAGCTGCATTTGGGCCTTCACTCCGCAATATTTTGTAGTTATTTCTGAAGGCATCCATTCCAGCTGTGACTGACTACATTTTGTTCACTCTCATCTGCCTGCAGTATCTTTTCATGATGAATCAAGTCTTTCTGCTTGGCCACCTGATGGTGTACACTCAGTGAAGCAGCCACCATTAGCCAAGTGAGTATTTTTGTAGGAGGCCTTGAAGCTGGGTAAGCAAAGGACAAGATCTTCAAATGTAATTAGGTGATTCAGAGGGTTGCTCTTCTTGGGCATGTGCCTCGAGATACGGCAAACAAGCCCAACAGTCAAAAAACACTGAGAACCCCCTTCAGAAAACCAGGTGATTTTAAGATATTAAGATATTTAATCTTAAGCACACCTGAAAAAAAGGAAAACTGCCTTAAGGCACTCACAATCATGAAGTCACCTTTGAAAATACTGGCGGGACACCTTAGATTGCAAGGATGCACAGCCAGGAACAGCTTGTGTACCTCTCTGACATTTAATGCAACCTGGCTTCCTCGTTTCCTCATCTTCCAAAGGGCTGGATGTTGGCAAGGATTGGAGCTTGTACACATCAAAGATGAGACCCTTCCACCCCTATCTGAGAGCTGCCATTGATTAGCAAACATCAAACTCATGAATAAAATAGGCTGAAAATTATACAACTCCCTTTAGTGTGTTTACTCCAGCAAGACACTTGTCTCCACACAGGGCAAAACCTGCCCAGATCCTTCTGGGCTCCTCTGAAAAGCTGCTTAGACTTAAAATACAGTTAAAACCCCCACAAAGTCCATCTCCTTCATGGCCGTTGCTTACAAACAAGCTTGATTTCATCTTTCTCTCCTCCTCTTTGTCACTTCTTCAGCTCAGGTCCATTTCATGCTTTGGATGTGTCCAGACATGACCACGGGTGGTCACAGGTGAATCTCACTTGCTTACCAAGGTCCACGCATTTGTGTTTCAAGGTGTCACGGAGGCATCAATGAGGTAACAGAATGAGTTCTGTAATTCTGGCAACCAGTCTGTGTCACCTCTGCTCCAGCCTTGGGGTGGGAGGAAGGTGGGAAGAGGGAGAGCAGTAGGATGAAGATTGAGAATGGCTGACACGTCCCTAGATCCTGCCTTTTCTTTTGTATTTCAGTGTTTTGATTCCACCTGAGATTGTCCCCCCCCCCGCCACCACCTCTCGCCATTAGCACTGACTCAAGTCCGAGTGCAAAATGCATGTTGGGCACAAACCCTAAACAAACACTTGCCTTCGATCTCCGGGTAAGGTGCTATCTGGTCTCCAGGGACTCCAGATATTCCAGTGCCATGTCATAGCAGAAATGATACTGTTCCTTTAAGGAAAGGAAATAAAAGGAGAAAGAGAAATGCGTTAAGTAAAAAGCAGCATAGAGGAATTCATTTGCAGTGCACAACCAATCTAGAAAACATCGGAAAGAGAGCTTTAGGGAAACGGGGTATTTTGTTTCACTGTGGTGAACAGTGTTTCACATTTCAATGAAAAACTCAGGAAGCTTTGAAATTTCCCACTAATCAAAACCCAAACCCAAGCTCTTTTGGGTCAGCTGAAACATTTGGTTCATGCAAAACGAAAATGTTTTGTTCCATTTCTGACTGACTTCTTTAATTTCTAGAATGTAACAGTTTTTTTTTTAAATGGAAACAAAAAGGCATTTCAAAATGAAAAATGGCAATCCTCCATTCCGAAAATGTCACAATAGAATATTTTGACCTTATCACAACGTTTTTTCCCCCCCTCAATTTTTTCTTTCAAAATGAATTTTCATCACAGCAACAAGTTTCTACTTGTTTTGAACAAGGTGACACCTCCTGACGGAAAAATGTCTCGCTGGAAAATTTCTGACAAGCTCGTCCTATGAATAATGCTGCCTGTTCATGAGCACAACGTTCTGGATCCATTAGCTATTGACTATGTACCTAGATAGTTTTCCCTTTGGAGGGCACCCTTGTAGCACCATCCAGTCATTAAAAATAAAATCTGTGCTAGGAAGGGTGCCCAGCTGATTGCACCAAAGACTGAGCTCCTACATTTCTCCAGCATAACCCACGGCAGCCAAACTTCCCGCACGACTCAACCCTGTAACTGTTCCAAAAGAACCGTGACCAGGGAATGGGAGTTCCTCCTTCTTGGCCTGCTCACTTTTCCACCTCCCAGATGAGGCTGCTATCAAGGGGCCTAAAGGACAAAACTGGGGGTTGCCACCTGGACTTGGTTCTTTGCTATGGTCAATGGTAGTCACATCAACCTTAGAAGCCTCCACCCAAGATAAAAACACAAAGTAGACAGAGGGCAGCCAGCTGATGGGGTCTGTTCTGCTACCTAGGGATGCATGCAGTCTGACACCCAGTCCCACTGCTGCATGTGGAACATATATGCAAGCAGATGTATGCAAACACCTGCACAAATGACACTGCATAAAGGCCCAGTGATGGAATACTCATGTCAGAGGGAGTTTTATTATTTCCTTTCAAGGGACTGCGATCAGGCATCCCCCGTAGCACAGCCTTACACCTCAGGGTAGTGGCCTGGGTTCCTGCCCTATAAGCACAGGCAAGTCAAGTCACCACCCTTCCTGCCTTGCAGGTGTGCTGAGCCCTGCTTTATACAGACCTGGCTTTAGTTGGAGTACGGTACCTCTGGTCAAACTTTGGGGCTGGAACTTATGTCCTTGTGTGAAAATTTCCCCTGGAAATTACCACATGCCTTTTTCTATGTTTAGACAGCATATGGCATTTGCCTCTCCCATCCTAAGAACTAAAATAACAATATACTCTTTATGGGAAAAGTATTATTATTTATATAGGACCTAAACTTCAGTAGGATATAAAACAAAACAGATACCACTTCTGCCCAGAATAGCTGGCAAGCTAATAGCATGGCCATGGATAAATGTACCACTGGTCACACCCCTATGAAGATACTCCTGGTAGTCAGTACTACACCAGTAGTGTTTCTAGGGTATGGTAATTGTGTCATTTCATTAGGCTAAACCAGTAGTTCTCAAGTTTTTTTCAACTCAAGACACCCCTCATAATTTTTGTGAATTAAGCAGCATCCCACTGCAAAAAACTAATTTATTTATTACAATGCTTGCTGCTCTACAGATGGGCCAAGCAGTGGGCACAGGGGAGCAACTGGGCAGGGAGAGCCTGAGACTGCTCTTATCTGTTATCTCTTCACACCTCACTTATCTTCTCACCCTTCCTGCATCATCTTTCAAAGGATCTCATGAATCCTGGTTAAGAATCATTGGGCTAAAGAAACTAAGCTCTTGTAGTCTCCTCTCATAAAATCAACTCTCCATTCCCATTAGCATCCTACTCTCTTCTGCATCTGCTGCAGCTGGAATTCATCGTTCTTGAATGCAGCTGTGAGAGACAAAGTCAATCCAGGGGAGCTAATTCTATTCTATTCTATTCAGGTCCTTATATCTCACTGATGTATCTAAGTGCATCCTACGTGACACGAGTAACATCTGATCCACACGACTTTTTCTCTTATCTTCTTCTCAGAGGTAAGGGCTGAATGAGAAGGTTAGCAAGAAAGGAAAAAACGGCCGCTGAAGAAATGACAGAGACATCAGCAAGACAAGTCAGCAAAAAGGTAGTGATGGCTGCCCGAGTCTCTAGGCAAGGAACTGACAGGCTTCCTAAGGCAAAATCCTAACCCCAGCATATTGAGTGAGAGATGGGATTTTACCAGAGCCTGCCAATGGTTTTACATCTGGGTGACTGTGCTAACTCACTGATTGACACCAGCTTAGAAGCAGGATCGTTCCCCTACAGAGAGATTAGCAATTCGTGGGAAACCTTCTAGCTAAAACTAGTTAAATCATAGAATCATAGAAATGAAGGGCTGCAAGGGACCGTGAAAAATCATCGAGTCTAACCCCCCCTGCTCTGGGCAGGAATACTGTTGAGATCAAATGATCCCAGCAAGGTGTCTGTCCAGAAGTCTCTTGAAGACTTCCAAGGTTGAGGGACTCCACCACCTCCTTGGGAAGTCTATTCCAGATTCTGGACACCCTTACCGGAGAGAAGTTTTGCCTTATATCCATCCTGAAACCATCCTCTAACCATTTATGGCCATTCCTCCTTGTCCTCCCCTGAGACTAGTGAACAATTTTTCTCCAAGCTCCCAATTTTCACCCCCCCAATCAGCCCTAAAACCTGCATACACTTTGACTGTGAACTACTGGGCACAGCTTTGTCAGTGGAGCTTTCTACAAAGGATCTCAGCGCTCTGGTGGTGCAACAAAATCCCCCCTCTGTTATGCCAGTCTCCACTGTAGACAGTGTGGTTGTGCAGAAGTAACCAAGGGCAGAATGGGTCCCGCTCATTAGCAGGGATCATCCCAGCTGTGCTTCATCTGTATCCTTCCCCCAATGCGTCTTCACAGATTAGAAACATTCACATGAAAAACATCAGAGCTCAGCATCCTCCAGATGTTATTCACTGTTTGTATTCCAGCAGTGTTAAGCATCCTCTCTGACGTATGAAGGCACATTTCCTATATGACTGGTCACACCGATTTTATAATGGGGAGGACCCAAAAATATGGCAGTTGAGCACTGGAGTGTTTGAGATCGTAGTCCTAATGTAATCTAGGCTTTCTCTGTCTTAGGAACCTGTCTGTTCCCATGATATCTATTTGGCCAGTGGCTTGTGATTCTGGGGGCCGACCTTCAAGTTCCTTATCTTCAGGCAGTGCTGAAAATCAAGACCCAATCAGGTGTACCAAATTGAGCATCCAACAACTGAGACCCCCAAAGTCACTGGTTACTCCTGAAAATATCTGTTGTTTGCTTCTCTTAGTGCCCGTCTGTCTCTCTGAGCCAAAATCTATGCCAGTATAAAGGCATTTTCAAGGAATAAACTTTCTTTACATTGCTAGATAACATGGACATCTCTCCCTCTCTCTAATTTCCAGCCCCCTTGAGGACATGGCAGTCGTCTGCACAGCACAGATACTTGGTAAGAGGAGCAGAATATTGCTGAGCAGTGAGGATCCAGTTTACACTCCATTCCCATCAGTGCATAACGTAAAGGAAGGGAGAAAAAATCCCAGCCATAGTCTCTGCTGTAGAATTAAAATTGCTTCTAAAGCACAATACTCCACCGAGCTCTGCAGGAGGCATTAGTGTGTCATTAAAAAGAATTTAATTAGACTTGTGGAGGGGTGGGCAGCACTAAAGTGACCCCAGGTGTGGGCAGGCACTGGGAGAAGGAAATCAAAGGAAGAAGGAAGCTGCAGCAGAGATTAAAACCACATAATGCTTCTGGATTAAGAAAGGGGATTGTTTCTGTTTTATTATAATACAAAAATAAACCCCCACAAGCAGCCAGTGGGGGTGGGGAAGGCGCATGGGGCCATACCGGCATGTAAAATGGTGCAGCCCCGTTGATCCAAGTGAGACCATGCTGATTTACCTCAGCTGGGGATCTGGCCCATAGTGGTTCCACTAGATTGGGTTTCCTGGAATAGACATTTCAGGTTCATTTAAGGCTGGGAAAAGATTGTGCTCGGATCTGAAATGTTGTTGTTTTAATACCTTTGCAATTTAGCCCAATGGGTTTGATGACTTCATGCCTGTCACAGCGTCTTTTTATTACTTGCTCTCCCCACTCTGTTTAATTCCTAATGCAAATCACATCCGCCCCAAAGTCATTTCATTTTTAAAGTTAGGGATTTTATAATCTAGACAATGCAAACATTCTGGCCAACGAGACGTGCAGGTTCCTCCAGCAAAACAATAATGCCCGAGGCTTGCTGTGCGTCTTTCCCATCTAGATGTCAAGATCCCCATACAGTGTGTGCACCTTTCAGGTCTGTTCCCAGATGCCTGACCTCTGGTGAACCTTTGCGAGTGGAGATACCATGGCTGATGTTCACCCTGGTGCAGAAGAGCCGGTAGCACCTAAGCCCCATTTGAAGTTGAGTGAGATAGACGTGGTCCACTGGCCTCACTCTGGCCCCCTGTGCCAAGGCGAATTTTACGCTTTAGTAGGCCTTTCTGGTCTACTGCAGGGAGGCTGCCTCACACCCAAACTTCAGGCCCCAGAGAGCACTTTAAATGGGGCTAAACAAAACCTTGACTACACAACTGTTACACAGGGTAAGGCTCAAACTGACTGCTTGTTATCCAGTAGCTAGGTTACTTTCACCACAATAAGAAAGGAAAGGATCATGCATGAGCCCCTAACAGGTACCTGGACCCTGTCCAGGCCCTTAATAGCTGTGCAGTGCAACCTCGCAATGCTATATGTAACATCCAGAAAACTAGGACCCATTCAACAGGAGTGTCCGTGAGCTGCCACCGCTACTCCACCACCATCTATCCCAGTGATTCTCAATTGGGTGCCAGGAGATCTTTTGAAGGTCGTGGTCTTTCTGAGCTCTTTGCAACAGAAGAATTGCTCTACTATTCTTCCATAGTTAAAAATGGAGTGAAAACTATCCAAGGGGTGACGTTCCAACATTATCCAAGGGATGCCTTGGGTGAACAAGGAGTGTGTTGGCTCTAAAAAGGTTGAGAACCACTGATCTATCCTAATCATATCACATGGCAATCTCAAGAGCACATCTAATGTCCTTTGGAGCAGCAGGCTCATTTGGTGTGTGCTGTCCCTAGCTGCTTGTTCCACCCAGCAGCATGCAGCAGAGCCGGTTAGTAGTAGGCAGAAATGCTGCAATGTCTGCTGCGTGCATCGGGTCAGAGCAGTCAGATTCGACCCAACAGCAGCAGGGAAATTCCACCATGGTCTCCTCTTACTGACCAGCCACAGTGCAGACTAGCACAAGAGAGAGGGAGAGATGCACACAGACCAACAGACTGAGGACAGGGCAAGGGGGAGTTAGAGGAGCCACTCAGGGCTGAAACTTGCCAGCCACGGGGGCCAGAAACAAATTCATCCAAATCTGTGGGGAGCTGTGAATCACTGCCTGCCTGTGTTGCTACAAAACAGGTTCAGGCCTTTCAGTGGTGAACTTGGAAATTGTGTAAGCTGTAGCCCAATGCTCCCAGCAGAGTTCAGAGACTCCCAGGCTGGATCCACATGAGCAGGGGTGCGCCCACAAATAGTAGCAGCACCAATTTGTGCCGCTACGTTGTGCTGCAGTGCACACCCCTGCCCATGTGTCCTGTTGTGAAGCACATTGTCCTGGTGCTTCATGTGCTGCAGGGGGGGGGGGGGGGGGG